TGCCTTTGATAGTGAGAAGTGAAGTTCTTTCCCAGTTTCACATTTATATTTTTCAATGGGCTCTGAAGCCAGCAGATTTGGTTTCAATTATCAGCCCAGAAGTACAGAACTTTTTTTTCTGTCATTTAAAAAAAGTAAACAAACAAACAAACCCATGAGAATTCAGGGGAGAGTTTAAAGTTGGAAGAAATCTTTTTTGGACCACTGCATCTGAAGCCCCCTTTGCTGCTTGGCTTGTGAAGGCTCTTGTGGTGTGAACAGACCAAGCCCAAGCAAGCTTGTAGCTCACTGGAAAATGCTGTTTCTCCACGTTGCTGCAACCAATGTCTTAGAACATTAACAGAGTATTTTGCTCGTCTCCTGGGGATACAATCACATTGTTCCTCACACCTGTGGTACAGCCATTTCCTGCTCCTTGGTTCCTGATGTACTGTCCCTGCTTCCTCCCCTGTGGCCATGCAGATATGTAGCCACCTCAGGAGTTAATCCTTCAACTGGCAGGCTCTGTCTGCAAAGGAGTACTGGTGATTTGTAACCACTGCCCTGTCCCACTTGACTGTGTTGGCTGAGGTAGTGCAGCAGCCCTCCCACCGCAGCGAGGTCTTGCTGCAGCTCTCTCAGCATAACTCAGTTTGCAGAGTGGTGAAAATAAACACAGTGGCTCAGAAGTAAATGACACACAGCCAGTAGTGAGGATTTATTCTGCTCCTGTCTCCTCTAATCTGTGGAGCTCATGCCTTGTATCTAAGCAGCTCCCATCTCTTGATTTTTGATTGACAGGCCATCTCTTCCACTGCCATGGCTGGGTGTTGATACTAACAGTTCTTCACTTATCTTATTTGACCAGCTGTTTGCAGAGTGTTGATGGTGTGAAGAAGCTAGAGCAGCCCCGCCTTACTTATACATAACCTCCCTCCTTCCCTTAACCTTGCCCAGGGCTGAGGAGCAGACTTGTATGACACAGCAGTAGCAGTAGCAAGCTGTGGGATGTTCCTGGGGTGCGGCATCCTGCCCAAGCCATGCTTCTCCATTGGCAGTGAGTGCAGCCAGGCTTGAGGCACACTTCTGCGTGGGGTGAGTTTCAGAATGAATGTGCAGTGAGATGGAAGGTAATAAATCATCTACAACCAAAACACAGAGTGCACCGAACAGTCCCAGAAGCTGTACAGAGGCAGTCCGTCCGTCAGCAGCCCACAGGTTACAGCCCAGGTGCTAACAGGGCAGTATATTTATTGCCTCATTGTTATTTGCAGTCAGTCAATCCAGCCTTTAATTAATGCCCTCCTCTCTTCCCCCAACCATTTGGCACAAGGCTTTCTTGAGCATGTATTTATAAAACTACATGCTGTGCTCAGGAGGCAAATTCAGAAGTGTCTGTGTGAAACCTGCCTGACATCGTTAACTACTTCTGTGAAAATTCGTGGTGTACTTGGCTGATGCTCTGAGACTTGCCATAATATCACTGTGTCATGTGCCTGATAGTTTTGACCACTGAATTCCTCTTTAGAATTGTGTGTGTGTGTGGGGGGGGCATAAATCCCTCTGCCTTTCAATTTCCCTTTCCTTCAGTGGCAGCTCTCATTCTAGTCTTTTTTTGTCCGCTGTTCAGTTCACTCTCTGTGTGCCCTCGTGAGATTCAGCTGGTATGATGGAGGTGGTCTGAAATGATGCAGTTGTAAAAGAAAATGCCTCCCTATTCATCTCTGCTCCTTGGTGGAGAAATAAATAGCTGTTTAGTTCTGTAATTGTTCACCTATGATGATGCTGAGGAGGCTTGTGAGGTGTCATCTAAGTCCAAGGATAGTTTCCCCCTCACAGTGCTCCCATGTGAAGGAGAATGTGCCAGTTTATCCCAAGTGTGCTAGCAAATATGAAATCTTAATATGAATTACTGGGATGATTCTGTTCTCATTGGTTCTAATGTGGCTTTGTGACAAAAAATTTGAAATTTGTATCAGTGATCTGTGCTTTCATAAATTCAATTTGAAGGTATTATCTCAGTTTCCCAGGGGGCAGAAGAGAAAATCTGAAATGGAAAGTGGCTTGAAATGCACATTTGTCCAAACCAAGTGCTTTTTACCTCGTTTCTCTAGATATGTTGGAAAATATATCTGGATCAGGGCTTGTATTAATACGGCCAATTTGAGTCCTCAAAAAAGTTAGATTTCAGAGTTTAGAACATCAAGGATGATTTGAGAAGGCTCTCATGACTGAGTGATGAAGGCAAAACTTTAATGAAAGCACAGGCTGGAAGAATGCTGCTGGTGGCAGGGTTGGTATTACTGCTGTCAGCAGCAGCAGCAAACTCCTATTAGGACATCAGCAGTGGGAAGAGCCAAGGGGAAATGTCTGAGGGTGGTCCTGGGTTGGTACTGCTTGGGATGTACTGTTTCATGAGAGTGCCCTGAGATCTTTAGTGCCATGTGCTGACGTCACCTATATGTGCACGATACAACAACCCCTAACTGATGGAATCAGCTTGGTTTTTTGGGGAGTGGGGGATTGGGTTTTTGTTGTTGCGTTGTTTGTTTGTTTGTTTGTTTGTTGTTTGAAATCAGATCTCTAAAATAAGAGCATTTTCATAGAATCATAGAACTTTAGGGGTTGGAATGGACCTGATAGATCATCTAGTCCCAATCCTCTGCCCTGGGCAGGGACACCTCCCACCAGAGCAGGTTGCTCAAGGCTTCAGCCAACCTGGCTTTGAACACTGCCAGGGTTGGAGCAGCCACAGCCTCCCTGGGCAACCTGTGCCAGTGTCTCACCACCCTCACAGGGAAAAACTTCTTCCTAATATCTAACCTAAATTTCCCCTCTTTGAATATGTACCCATTTCCCTTGTTCAGTTTGTACCCATTACCCCTTGTCCTGTCACTGCAGCTCCTAACACAAAGTCCCTCTGCAGCTTCCCTGGAGCCCCTTTAGATCCTGGAAGGTGCTCTGAGGTCTCCACACAATCTTCTCTTCTCCAGGCTGAACAGCCCCAACTTCCTCAGCCTGTCTTCATAGGAGAGGTGTTCCAATCCTCTTATCAACTTTGTGGCCTCCTCTGGACTTGCTCCAACAGTTCCATGTCCATGTTTTCTGTGATTTGTCTCAGCTTACTGAGGCTATTTCTTTTTTTGCCTTGTTAAACAAGCCTGGACCTAACAAGTCTTTGCAAGCTGAGAGAAATGAATGTTGTGCATTGCTGCTTTATTGGTAACACATCTCAGCACTTCCCTGTGTGACATGGGGCTTGTTCAGATTTTCCCAAACAATATTAGTCTGTCATTCTTGGAGAGGATACTGTATGTATAATCCATCCAGAGACAGCTCTTCCAGTTTCCGAAGTTTATTGCTAATGAGGATGCACATAGGATGTAATCACTGGCAGGAGCCTCTGCTTCAGGGTACAGTGAGGCCAGCAGACAAGTAAGCAGCCAGTTTTATCTGGCTGTTCGTTCTCCCTATTATCAGAGCTGTTTGGCTGGGGTTCAGGGGTGTTAGAGGGAACTACAGAGGCTTTGGCTTGTGGATTTGAGTGACAAGGTGCGAGGGGACATGAGACAAAGACTAAGAACAACAAATATCTGTGCATTGAGAGAGGAAGCTTTGCATTTCACTGCAAAATCTGAAGGTTGATTTTGCTTTTTTAAAAATCACTAAGGACTACTGACTGAGCTTTGCTGAAGAGATGTAGGAAGGCATCACTCCAGTAGGGCTGGTCAAAACTAGCATCCATTTGTAATAAACCCTTTAACCTCATTAATTTGTAGATACTTTGCTGCCAGCATGACCTAGCCTCAGCAGGCTGCTGCCACAGATGAAAAGAAAAGGAAAATCACGATGGGCTCATATGAGCAGTGGTTATTTATGGTAGGTGCAGGAAGTTTCCAGTGAGTTGCAGTGGATTTTCGGTGACAAAAGGGAAGAACTATTTAGCAGCCACGGCATTGCAACAATTCCAGACTACTAACAGCTTGCTTTATTAAATTAAATATCAGTTATCTGCCACTCACAGTAAGTCCTTGAAAGCATGTGACACAGAGTGCTCTCATCCTCAAAGAAGCATCAGGTCATGACATGTATCAGATGAATTTTCCTTGCCCTGCTTACGTCGCAGTTGCACAGAGGATTACAGCATGCAATCGATGGCATGCAACGAGACGGGGTGGAGGCAGGAGATAAGTAAGCCTGAGGATGAGTTGGCTGAATGAGATGGAGTACAGAGCCATCCTGACAAGAGCTGTACAGCTCTGGAGTTATTGCAGCCACAGCTAGCCCAAGTGTCCATGCCCACCATGCTGTTGCACAGAGTTGGGAAGGAAGAGGACATGTATCACTTCATTAGTTGGATTTTGATAGTAGGTGAAAGCCAACCAAAAGTCACTGTAAGCCAGATGGCAATCCTGTATCAAACAGACAGTGAAGGCAAGAGTTCATTATGCCTTCTACTGAGGTCTTGAGCAACCTGATTTAGTGAGGAGGTGTTGCTGCCCATGGCAGGGAGTTGGGACTAGATGATCTGTAAGGTCCATTCCAACCTTTATATTCTATGATTCTCTGAACCTTTTCCAAATGATGTGAGGGTTCCTGTTTACTTCTGCCCTCTGGCCTCAAGAGGGCTACGGGTAAAAGGAAGTCCCTGTTGGAGCTAGAGCTAATATTCAGGTTTCATTGGCACAAGTGTCTACCTCAGCTCATTAAGATCGAGTTCACTTTGCCATGCCATGGCCCGATACTGTTGAGGCAAAGAGCCTCCTTCATGTAGCTATATGAAAGTGAAGATAGCCTCAACTTCCTTCTCTTGGTCTGAGATGTTGTAATCTTCCTCTGGTAAAAATTAGCTTTGGAACTTGCATTTTTTGCAGTAGGGTTGGCAGTACAACTTTCCAGGCTGCCATGGTCATCTAGGATTTGTTCAGGTGTCCTGTATCTTCTTCACTCTTTAAAAGTGCCAGTTTACAAATGTCCTGACTCAATTGTGGTATTTTTTTCTTTCCTTTTATTCTGTGCAGTGTTCGAAAATAAGGATAAGATTGTGATCATCATGGAGTATGCAAGTAAAGGAGAGTTGTATGATTACATCAGTGAGAGGCGGAGATTAAGCGAAAGAGAGACGAGACACTTCTTCCGACAGATTGTCTCTGCTGTACATTACTGCCACAAGGTGAGCTAAGGATTTAGTATTAAAAAATGCTGTTTGAAGACTGATTAGTGACTTATATATTTCAAAGCATGTCTGGGGCAGCAGCATTCATTATGAAGTATCAGAGCATGTGATTTTATCAGTACAGCAGGAGATCTTCATTAAAAGTGCCATACTGTACTAGTGCCTGTTTTTAAAGACTAATGATGTTTTCCTATGCTATGGCAGATACGAACCACTCCCTTACTTTAGACCTACACTGTGTTTTTGCCTTTGAAATAATTCTCCTGACATTAAAACCCAAAAATCACAACACAAGCTAGAAGACACATTCCATATAACCCCTACAGCATTAATATTAATGCATTCAAATGAACAATAGTTTGCAGTTTGAATATAGAATCATAGAATTTAGAGGTTGGAATGGACCTTACAGATCATCTAGTCCAACCCCCTGCCATGGGCAGGGACACCTCCTCACTAGATCAGGTTGCTCAAGGCTTCATCCAGCCTGGCCTTGAACACTGCCAGGGTTGGGGCAGCCACAGCCTCCCTGGGCAACCTGTGCCAGTGTCTCACCACCCTTAGAGTAAAAAACCTTTTTCTAATATCTAACCTAAACTTCCTCTCCTTCGATTTGAATCCATTACCCCTTGTCCTATCACTGCAGTTCCTAACAGAGAGTCCTTTTGCTGCTCCCTTGTAGGCCCTTCAGATACTGAAAAGTTGCTCTGAGGTCTCCACACAGTCTTCTCTTCTCCAGGCTGAACAGCCCCAACATCCTCAGCCTGTCCTCATATTGAAGGTGCTTCAGACCTCTTAGCAACTTTGTGGCCTTCTCTGGGCTTACTCCAACAAGTGAGCAAGTTTAGAATAGGAGATATAATCTATGAAAGAAAACAGCCAAGAGAAAGGTGTGGGGCTCCTGTATGACCTTTCATATGTACTCATTCTGGGTAGGTAAAAGTAACTTTTCCAGATGTAGCAGGAGAACTAGAAATACACTGTTTCCTAATGACTTTATCCATCATGGTACCCGCTGGAAGTGACAGTTTAAGCAATTAAACCCAAGGCAGCTGACTGGCTGTCATCCTGGACCTTTGATGCCTGCTTAAGAACCAACTGCAAAGAGCCAAAACTTGCATGAGGCTAAAGGCAGTGAGCAGCTAACACAATCTTTTATTAAACAATTTAATTTCGATTTGATTTCTGATAAACAGGGTGATTTTTTTCCAAGTCCCCACTCCACAGTGATGAAAAGCTGCAGTGCCATTCCTGATGCAGTTAACTTTCCTCAATTTCTTTAAAGAAGGCTGTGACCTGAACCTTGCTTGTTCACCTCCATCACTAACATTTCCAGTCCTCAGGATTATAACTCCCCCAGTCCTCATGGCTGCACATTGGAGGAATGAAGGCTTTTGTAAGGACTAACGTCATTGACAGATATTGTTTTCTGGTGCCTGGGAAGAATATATTGCTTTCACGCAGTGGGGGCAGGATCCAGGATGAAATTAAGTTCAGAAAAGACACCCCTCACCCCTCCTGCTGTTTTAGAGGCTTTGTGGGAGGACAGATTCCAGTCATTCTTCCCTTAACCACACACCAAGTGACTAATACAGCGCCTGCCACTAGTCACTGGGCTGTGAGTGTTATGACAGTGAAATCAGCCCTGAAATGTAGATGCAAAGACCACCCTGCCAGCTCACCTTTAATTTTCTTAATATTTTCTCATGTCTTCTCCCATTTTTTTCTTCCTTTTTTTTTTCAGAATGGTGTTGTCCACAGGGACCTAAAATTGGAAAACATCCTTCTTGATGACAATTTTAATATTAAGGTAGGATTCTTTTTCTCAGCTGCTCAGAATGGATTTGCATGTTTTTTAACATTTTTATCCAAGGTATTAGAAGAGCCAGTGTTATGGCAACAGCTACTAAGCAACAGCATCTGGCAAGAGGCTCAGGGGTTTGGAGGTTGGGGGAAGACAACACTGGTTACCAGTAACACACACTAAAAGAAGCTTTGCATGCTTTGGGGGAGAAGGTCTTGTCCTGCCATGCAAAGGCCATGATTCCCAATGCAGGATCTGTTTACTGGTAGAAAGCAGCACAGCATTTTGTGCAGTTTGGTTTATTGTACAAATTATATTATAGCTGGCTGCTTCTGGGGCTAGGGAAAAACTGTTCTGGTCTACAGGGTTCAAGTGCCTCCTACAGAATACTCTGAATGTTCTTTTGATCATGGCTGGAAAATAAGCAAATAGAGTTTCAAAATAAACCTAGTAGAGCACATGTGCTTCATTAGGAAATGGCCTTGGAACTTCAGACACAAACGTATACTTTGGATAGTGATGTCAGTGATGTCATTTCCATGTAATTTCTCCTCAGTGAAAGCATGGGAATGACATTTTTTCCTGTCTCTTATTGTTAATAGCTGTAGCACAAAATTAAATAATGCAGAGATTTAATTTCCAGTGTAATTTCATATCTATCTATCTATCTATCTATCTATCTATCTATCTATCTATCTATCTATCTATCTACCTCCTATATATATATTCCTGTGTAAAATAAGTATAATTTCCAGGTGGCTGAACCTGTTTCCCTTCCAACTTTGTTCCTCCCTGGGTAGCTAGATGTAAGAGTGGCTGGATGTGCTCATCCAAACAAGCAGAGGGAGGAATGCCAAAGAGTTTCTGCTGATGCTTGGGCATCCTTGTTTAATTAAAAGAGTAATCAAGCTGCTCCTTGCGTAGCTAGCTAAGTAGCCTGGGTCTTCCTTTTGTCTCACCTGAGAGCCATGGGGCTGCACACACTGCCTTCTGCACTCCACACTGGAGAGATCCTCTTCAAGATGATGTGCAGTGGAAGTGGAAAGTAACATGTGGTAGCTGCCATCTGTGTAGCACTGCTGACAGAAGCTAACTTGGATCAACTAGTGGATTAAAGGCACATAAATATGTGGTTTCCAAAAATAGTCTTTTACAGAGGGTCCATCCAATGCAGTACTTGGACATTTTGCTGTTAGCATCCAGTGTTGGATCAAACCTCCCCACGCCTGTTCCTACAGGGACACTGGCTGCAGCAGCCCAAGATGTTCTCAGCAGCTCAGAAAACAAAAAGTAGCCTTTCTAGGACATTGTATACGAATCAAGCTTCCGCAGACAGGATGACCTTTCTTTCCACATTCCACACCAAGCTATCTTCCCAGCTAATCAGGGAATTCTTGAGAGAACAGAGGAATTTGGGGAATTTGCTAGCTGCCTGGGCTGGGTCTCTGCACTGTGGTCCTCATATGCAGAACCAATCACTTCCCCAAGCCTCTAGGGAGCTGAGCTTTGTCAGAAGGCTCTGCTCCCGCCCCTCTCTTCTTCATGGAAGTCTAATCCTCCTGAGAGCACAGCAAGAGGATGGGGCAGGGACAGGTGGTTTTGTGTTCGGTCCAGACCTTATTTGCTAGCTGCCTGGGCTGGGTCTCTGCACTGTGGTCCTCATATGCAGAACCAATCACTTCCCCAAGCCTCTAGGGAGCTGAGCTTTGTCAGAAGGCTCTGCTCCCGCCCCTCTCTTCTTCATGGAAGTCTAATCCTCCTGAGAGCACAGCAAGAGGATGGGGCAGGGACAGGTGGTTTTGTGTTCGGTCCAGACCTTGGAGCTGGCCGAGCAAGAGGATGGGGCAGGGGCGGGTGGTTTTGTGTTCGGTCCAGACCTTGGAGCTGGCCCAGGGCTTCAGAACTACAGATGCATTTCAGATGCCATAGCGAGTGGCTCTGCTGTGGAAGAAACTCTGGTAGCTGTACCTCCCCACATACCTTCCAGCTATTTGGATGTCTTTTACTGGAAGGCTTCCCATTCCTGAACTGTGTTGTGTTTAAGCTGCTGTGTAAGTGTTTTGCCTATTACCAGCCTTTCCTCAGTTACTTATCTTCAATTTTAAGGCCTCTGAGCAGGCAAGGCTGCCTTGGTGTGGGCAAAGGGCTGCAAGCTTCCTTGCTGCCCCCTAAGTAACTGTTTCTGCAGAGTCTCATGGAACTGCAAAACAGACTGAACTTCAGAAGCTGTTGATATTTCACACATCTTACAGTTGATAGTGCTTGAATTTGGATTTCTTCAAGAGGTGACTTGTGGCATGGTTTTCCTTTTTCTCCCTGTTCTTTTCTTTTTTTATACCTTGTGACTAAGGTCAGCTTAGAATACCTGATGTTAAGCATACTGACATTATTACCCTGATGCTGAAGCTTTCAATATGTGACTGTGGTTTCTGTGTTACTTGCACAGAATTTTACTTCCCACCTCTTCTTTGTTTTGCTAAACAGTAACTGTTGGCAGGGAAACACATATGGGAGTGCAAATTATTTATTAGGAGTAAATTTATCAGATCCTCATTCTGAGAGTATTTATATGTGGTTTATTCAGGCCAAAAAAAAGAAATGAAGTCTGGGGTTTGGTATTGACTGATGGCTTCAAATACTCAGTGGGAAGCTTTTTCTAGAAATGGAGTGATAGTCTTATCTGTACTTTCCTAGTATTTATATTTCATTCAGTGGATTACAAACACTTATGAAATTGGCAGTTTGATTTTAAGAACGAGAAAAAGAAAGGAATTTCTTTGTTCTTGGGTGCAGTGTGCAATTAAACACATTTCTGAAGAAGCCAGTGATCTATACCTTATAATTGGCAAAAACATGTCATAGTAATGTGAAGAGAAAATAAGATGTAAAAATAGATCCCGGTATAGCAACTTAAGCAGTACTTTTAAAACAGGAAATAAAGAGGACAAGTAATCCAATAGAAATTATTATCTGACCTAAAAGGGCCCCAAGCCATTTAACGTGACACTGCACTGACTTGGAAACCATTCTTAAGTTTTAGCTAATTAAGTGAAGATCCTGAAGCAGTTTATGGAGTCATAATCAGCTTTTTTCCCCCCCTAAGAGTTACAATGCTGAGTAGAAGTCTCTGGAAACAGAGTCATGTTAGAATACAGGAGCAAGGAACCACTGGTGTTTGGAAGCTGAGAAAAATGACACATTTTGAAGAGTTCTGCAGGTCCACAGGCCAGATGTGGGGGATGATGAGGGCAAGAGATTGATCCAATCTGTGGTGTATAATTAGGTTTTTCAGGGCCTTGGTGTATGCAGTACTATTTCCTGCAAATGATTGCTTAAAACCACTGAATGCAGCAAGCATAAGTGAATAAAATGAGTTTTAAACACTTGTGAAAAAACTGAGCATGTGTGCGTATCTGTGATGTACAAGGAGTTAATCTACCAGTTAGTCACACAGTACCTTGCCTCACTCCCCACATGCACACCTAACTCAGGGGCAGAAACCCAGAGTGTTTCTCCTGGGACCTAGCCTATCACAGAGTCATAACATTTTAGGGGTTAGAATGGACCTTGTAGATCATCTAGTCCAAACCACCTCTGCCATGGACAGGGACACCTCCCCACTAGAAGAGGTCTATCTGTGGAGGTCTATAGTGGGGCACAATCCTAGAGCTAAACCTTACCAAGACACTGCAGCCTCTCAGGGCAGGAGAGTGTTACTTGCTTTCCCACCGTGTTCGTGGTGCCATGTTCTCTACAGAAATAACATGGCAGTGAAATCAGTGTTTCTGTGGCATGTACAAGCCTCTCCTTCCTCACAGTCACTTGTCAGCTGGTAACAGCAGCACCTTAAAATTGAATCTGCTCTCCTTTCAGCTGCCTACACTTGGTGACTTCCAGCCTCCAGCTGTAGGTAACTCAGAACTGCCCCCTCTGCTTGACCTGAGTTCCCAGGGTGGGTAGCGGCTGCTGCCCCTGCCAAACAGTGGCAGAGCAGCCTCTTGCTGGCATTGTCATCCCATCAAGAGGATATAATGGTTCATAATCCTAACTCAGCTGGAAGGGGGCAGGGTCAGACAGGCAGGAGGGCTAAGGCAGCTCCAAAGCATTGAAAAAGCTGCCCTGAGTTGGGAAGTTAAGAAACTCTCTGTGGGAAGAGATTCGCAGTGGCTTTTTAGGTATTTACCTTTGGTGGTCTTCAAAAAGGCCTTCTGGTGGTGCCTTCTTCTCTTCATTAGTTTTGAAAGGACTGAGCATGCTAGTTTTTGGTTCATTGCAGCTATGAGTTTACTGGAAGAAATAGCAATAGGGCAAGTATGTAGCAGCCTCCTTTTGCCCATAGCTCCTGCAGTTTGGCCTGATAAGGACCACGTGTCCCCAAGCACTGCAGCTTTCCCCAGTGCCTAAGTCTCCCAAACTGTGTGCAGGGGAGAGGAACTTCTGCCTAGTGTGGCAGCCAGGGAATGAATGCTGCTTACTGGACCATGCAAATACTGTGTCCCTGCCGCGTGTGATAAGCTACCCCCAGGGACACCTCTGTCATGGAGCCTGTTGTGAAGGAGGGACCTCCTTGGTCATGGCAGGGCTGTGGTGGCTCCTGGGCTGGGAATTGCACCTAAAAGAGATGTCTAGCAGAGGTTGATGTAAGCTGTATGATCAACCCTAAAGTGATAGAAGGAGAGAAAAATATAAATCTAATAGTAATGTAATCCTACTAACTTCACTTTCTCTTGGGCTGGTAAGAGGACACCAATCAGACTAACCACTAAAAACCCAGGAGGGTTTTGTGTGTACACAGTAAGTGTATGTAATTGGGATTTACCTTACCGGAAGTCTCACCGACTGCACATACATTTCATGTGCTTTAACAGACCTAATGTTTTCTCTATCTGCAGTACAGAGAGACAGATTCTTAAGTGGGATAGAGCTGACAATTTCCATGACTCTGAACTTGGTGGAATTTATATTCCACACTTTAACAATAAATTACATCTGGTTTATCATAGCTAACAGTAAATATGAAACATACACTCCTGAAGTGAGGGGAATAAAAGTCCACTTCCCTGCTCCTCCCAATTTAGGAAGTTTTTTTGACTTGATGCCTTACTTCCATTTAAGTGCCAAGAACATGAAGTAATGTTAGCTTCTATTAATCTTGTTTTGGGGGGCATGACAGTTTTAATGGGAAAAGCTGATAAACATCAGTCTGTGAGTATGGGAGTGGACTGTAACATAAATACTCTTTTCCTGAATGGTCAAAGTGAAAACATGAATGCCCAAGTCTGAGAGTTTTTTAAGAGGGAACAATGGTATGTGGATCCCTATATATTCATGCACATCCACATGCATTTTATACATTCCATGGTGTTAAGGGAATGTATTTTCATAAGGAATCACACTGTGCAGTATTTGTCCTTGTCTTAGCTACATCCTGAACTGAAATAAAAATCAATGACGAGCACGAATTTTTAACACTGAAAGATCCCATTCTTTTCCTGATTGACAGGGCACACTTCATAAGGCTTAAAACCAACTTCCTGCAAGCCAAGCAGGGTGACTTGATAAGAAAGTGGAATTCAGGGCAATTAAGTGCAATCTGAGCCATGAGAATATGTTTGGAGACTGCAATTGTACACCAGCTGTTTTCAATGACATTCCAGCCATACAATGAAGATTTTACAAACCACATTTCTTTAAGGGCTGAATTTTCTGCTGTGGGTTGCTAATACCCTGTTTGAGGGACTGTGTGAATTCAATCTATGAATGGACATGATGAGGTGAATTAGCATTAATGAACAGGAATCAGCTGCTCTTTGAGCAGGATATTGTGAGTCCAAATGGTCAGTGGAACACCTGCACAAGCAGAGCATTAAGATAGGAGAGGGTGAAGTATGTAATCTCATCTCTGCTCTGTGGCTTAAAAAATGGTGTGAAAATTAGATTTTAAAAGTTTGTATTTCTAACATGAAAGATTCTAACAGTCATGTATGTATTTGTTCATAAAATGTATGTTTGTTTCTATTTTGGGGTAAAGAGAGAGGATTGGGAAGTTCAGTCCATACCGCACCAACTTTGTCTACTTTGGTCTCAACTGTGTCATTTTTTGGTGCAGCTGTAGAAGTTTAGGTAGTGGAGACAAAGACTTGATCTCTCCCAAGAGTTCCCTAAACATTGCGGTTCAACAGGTGCTAAAGGCACTGATGATACACATTTTAGGAAGTCAGAAGTGAATGATGCTGCTGGTAAATCCTCTTCTGTTTAGTTTGTGTATTCTTGAATTTTCTCTTGTGAAAATTCCTGGGATTTCATTCTGGTCAAAAAGACATGAATAACATCAGGAAAACCCAGAGAAAACCCCTGTCTCTTGTAGCTATGATGCATTTTTTAGTGCCTGTGCTCTCTGTCTTTTATGTATACCTTCTGTTGATAGTGGGCAGCAATACAAGTATCTCTGGGAAGCAGAAGTATTTGGGTTTTAAACAAGATAAAAAATGAGATGTGTTGCCTTGTGCTAGAGAAACAATGAAAATGCAAAGGTTGTGGGAGTATTTAGTGTTGCTATCCTTAGCTTTTGTTTTGTAAAAACAAGAACAGAGAATTGAAGTAAACAAAATATTTGGACCTGATCCTGCTATTCCTACATGGGCAAAATTCCCAACAGTCTCAAGGGAAGTTTTGTTTGTGTTGGAAAAGCCAGATTTCAGCCCATTGTTTCCAGTTAGGAACCAGACTTGTGTTTATTATCTCAGGATAGACATCTCATGGGCTTAACAGCTCAGATTCCTCAGCCTGGTGTCCCTGAATCTGGAAGAGTTAGCGACTGCCTCACTTTCCCCCTCATTCAAGTGCAGCTAAATTCCAGCTGATTTTAAAAATCACTTTCCTTTGTAATGCTTGGTTTCCTGCAGCACTCCTGCGTCACTCCTCCTGTTGAATGTAAAGGTCTTGGCTTTTGGCTTGTGTGTGTGCGATAAGGAGGGTGGTACCTTCTGCTTGCTTTCCTTTGGTTTTGATGACTGTACAAGATGATGAGGAATCAGTATGTATTATAAAGTTATGATAATATAATACTAGGTTGGCAAGGGAACTTGAGAGATTGTCCTCATCAAGATCCCTGCCCTTCAGCAGAGTCAAATAGAGCTGTCTTTCCTGGTCAAGAGCTTTTTGTTTCGTTAAGATGTTGTTAATGCTACAGATATCTTGTGCAATTCTGTTTGCAGATTGCTGATTTTGGACTCTCCAACCTTTACCATAAGGACAAGTTTCTGCAGACCTTTTGTGGAAGTCCACTGTATGCTTCCCCTGAAATAGTTAATGGGCGACCTTACAGAGGCCCAGAGGTAAGAAGGGTCAGCTTTTCTGCAGTGCTGTGGGCCTGTCTTTGATGGTAATGTTCTTGAGGGTTAGTCTTAATGCAAGTGCTATTGTACATGTGAGTTCTCTTGGGTCTGTCCCTTATTTAAAGTACTCAGGCTGCCTTCACTTGCTTTTGTTTGCTTTGCTTGTGGGTGGTTAGTGAGATGTTAGATACTGGCTTGCCCATCAGTAGGTGCAGCTGGACATGATGCTGCTCTCATGGTGCTAATGGCAGGGAGAAGGGCAGGGATCAGCTTTCCTGGGCTTCACATGTGTTGTGTCTGTGTTTCAGGTTGACAGCTGGGCCCTTGGTGTATTGCTTTACACTCTGGTTTACGGAACGATGCCCTTTGATGGCTTCGATCACAAAAATCTCATCAGGCAGATCAGCAGTGGAGAATATCGTGAGCCAACACAGACCTCAGGTATGAAAAAGGAGGGAGGACCATGCACTAACCTGACAGGAGTTCAGAAGCAAGGTCTTGTCTGGCCCCTTCCAGCATGTTCTGGTGTCATACTAGAGGGATGCAGAAAAAAGATACCTCATTCCCCTACTGACTTCATCTGCTGTAGATTCCCATCTTCGTACAGCATTTACCAAAAACCCTTTTGAAATTAAAGTTTTGTAGCAGATAGATTTTGTTGCCTTGGAGAATCTGTAAGAGGCTCTTTTAACTAGATCAGCGACAGTGGAAAGTGTGTTAGTTATTGCAAGTTGAATTGTTCAGACAAACTGTAAGCTGATACAACATACTGGTACAGATCAGTCCTCTGACTACACTGTGGTGTATCCCAAGCAGAGACAAGGTGAACAATCAGAGCAACACAGTCTCATTCAAGAAGTCAGGTCAAATTCTAAATTAATGCCATCATGTTCACATTGGCTTCTACTTAAAGGATAACACACTAAGCAGTTACCTGACAGAAAAGCATCACCTAAGGCTGGGGCATTGATTATAATGACTCCTTCCAGCCTTAAATGTCTATGTATATGTTATGTTTAAATGTATATTTATCTTGTATTAGTTGTTTGCCATCCTTTTCCATTTTCTGTCTTACAATCATAGGATTATAGAATCAACTGGGTTGGAAAAGACCTCCATGATCATCAAGTCTAAACCTACCATGGTTACTAGACCATGGCACTAAGTGCCACATCCAGTCTCATCTTAAAATCTCCAGGGACAGTGAATCCACCACCTCCCTGGGCAGCCCATTCCAATGCCTGATCACTCTCTCTGTAAAAAAATCTCTCCCTAATATCCTCCCCTGGCAGAGCTTGAGTCTGTGCCCTCTTGTCCTCCTGCTAGTTGTCTGGGAGAAGAGACCAATCCTCACCTGATTCCAACCTTCTTTCAGGGAGTTGTAGAGGGTGAGAAGGTCTCCCCTGAGCCTCCTCCTCTCCAGGCTATACAACCCCAGCTCCCTCAGCCTCTTCTCTCTCTGTACAAAAATAAACCTTTAAATATACTGAAGATTACACTGTTTATGCTTTCCTCTAAGTTTTGTTAGTGTTGATAGGTTGGTGACTTCCTTCAGTAGTATGGAACTATTCACTGTCTAATACAGTACAAGTATTAATTATTTCTCAGGGTGAACTGAAATGCATTTCCCATCACTGAATGATGGACAAAACCTTCCCCCCTTTCACTTCTCCTGTTGTAAGGAGCATTATTTTTGCTCATTTGATTGGCTTCAAGCTTCCGTTTTAAATGGGCAAAGCTAAGAATGCCCATGTTCTAAAATTGCGTATGTCATTCTCTATCCTTAGATGCTCGTGGTCTTATCAGGTGGATGCTGATGGTGAACCCTGAACGCCGAGCAACCATTGAAGACATTGCCAACCACTGGTGGGTTAACTGGGGCTACAAGAGTACTGTTTGTGACTGTGATGCCATGAGGGACTCCGAGTCCCCACTGCTGGCAAGGTTCATTGATTGGCATCACCGTTCCACTTGCCTCCAAGCAGAGACTGATACCAAAATGAAGTGCCTTTCTAAGCCCAAAGGTCCTGAAGTCACGCTAGAGAGACAAAGGTCTCTGAAAAAATCAAAAAAGGAAAATGACATTGCACAGTCCATCCAGGAAGGAGGAGCTGAAAATGCATCCAAACCCACCTCCAAGAGACCCAAAGGCATCCTGAAGAAAAGGAGCAACAGCGAACATCGATCTCACAGTGCAGGTTTCATTGAAGGAGTGGTCAGTCCAGTGTTACCCTCAGCTTTTAAGCTGGAGCAAGAGTTGTGCAGGACTGGTGTAGCCATTAAAAGTGTTGTGGAGGGAGAGGTAGCTGGCAAATATGGCACTAAGCAGTCTTCACTCATGCCAAAAAAAGGAATCTTAAAGAAGACTCAGCAGAGGGAGTCTGGGTATTACTCCTCTCCAGAACGAAGTGAATCCTCTGAACTCTTGGACAATAATGATGAGACAGTAAACAGTGACACTTCTCCAGGGGTCTCAGAGCCGTCCAGAAATGGGTCTTACAGCCATTCCTGCAGGCGTAAGGGCATCTTGAAACACAACAGCAAGTATTCTGCCAGCAGCACTGAGCCTGCTTTGATTAGCCCTGACACACCAACGCTGGAGGCCATGGAAGAAGTGGTGCTGCCTGGGGACGCATTACCTCGAAGTTACAGTCGCCCTTCCAGTGTGATTAGTGATGACAGTATTTTGTCCAGTGACTCATTTGATTTGCTGGATTTGCAAGAGAACAGGCCAAACAGACAGAGAATACGGAGCTGTGTCTCTGCTGAAAATTTTCTCCAGATCCAAGACTTGGAAGGACTTCAGAACCGCCCAAGGCCACAGTATCTAAAGCGTTACCGCACCCGTCTGGGGGACAGCAGTTTTTCTCTTCTCACAGACATGGATGATGTGACTCAGGTCTACAAGAAAGCCCTAGAGATCTGCAACAAGGTCAACTAGCAGAGGGAAGATGGAAGGGGAGGGAAGGGAGTTTTTCTGTGTACCTTTATGATGGAGTGAGCCAGGTCACTGATTTGCTAACAATGGTGGATTTTGCTTCAGAGGAAATGACTGCACCTACTTAGCTGACCTCCTAGTAAAGCAGCCCCAAAGCCATCTCACACTTCACTGATTCTGTGTCCTCAAAAGGTTACCTACCTGACCAGAGAAAACTTTGGTCTTTGTATCCATGATGAAAGCACATCAGGAGCTAGCAGACAAAAGCATCAAGATTTGATGGCTCCAAGTCAAAGCTAGACAGAGTTAAAACTGGAAGTGAGGGACACATGTTTTGAGATGTTTGCAATTAATATTAGATTAGCTCTATCAAGAGATGAGCTGAATTCTTGTAGCCAAATTTGACTGCCTTTTAGAAAGAGAGGCTTTATTTCCCCCTGGAGTGATTCATCTGGATACAGTCATTGTACTCTGGGAATCTTTGTCTTGCATTATGCAGGAGGCTAGGCCAGGTGGTCACCATGGTCTCTTCCACAAGGGTGACCTGAGATGTTCTGAACATGTTCCATGGCAGGTAATTTGAGAGACTCACCTCAAAAAAAACCTCATGAGGTGTTTGTGGACAAGTGATGGAGCAGGCATTCAGATTTGGACTCTCTCACAGCCACTGCTCTTCAGTGAGCAGAAAGTTCTAACATTATTTCCAACTATCAGCAAAAACAGAGCCACAGAAATGATAATGGGAACTGGAAAGAATGGATGTTAGCATCACCTAAGTGATCATTTAAGGCATTTCAACCTGTGTCCTCAATTTGTGAGTTTCAAAATGACCATCCAGATGAGTGCCCAGACAAAGATGGATCTAACAAAGGGTCTCAAGGGTTAGCTGAGCCTCCAGTCTAGAGTTCAGTTGCTGTCAGCAAATGGTGCCACCTTGCTGGTAGCTTGTAGTGTTTGAGGGTGACAGGTCGTTTGTGACCAGAATGTTAGGTAAGGAAAAGGTTGTAGCATGTAGGAAATGGATAGAGGTCAGAAAGTTAGTGGGAAAATGCCTTTCTCCAAATGAAAATGTTTCTAGGTAGGTAGTAATGGAGCAGAAGGAATTGAACAATGAAATGATAAGGGTAGTTTTGATAACAGAGTTAGCATAAAATTACAGACCTGCTTCTATCTAGCATGGCTGGTACTGTGTGTGCAGTGATACCAGCTTGGAAAAGAGAAGGGTATGTGTTTGTGTTCTCAGACATATCCAGCTACCCAGACCGAAGGCTTCAACTCCCATAAAGGTACCACAAGGGTCTACTGGATTACCTGAATGTAAGCCTATGTCAGAAAGGCACTGTGTGTTTGACAGGCCTGGGCAAACTGGAATCTTCAGGCCCATTTCAGTCTCATTTCTGTGAGCACATAGCCCCTGGCTTTCTTGAAGGTCCACTGGTGTGAGTAAGTGTCAGGTTTCAGCCTATGATGGCAAATGATCCACAGCTGCAAAACCTGTATCTACACACATACCCAAGGCAGAGGAGCGTGGGGCAAGTTAAGGTCTCACTCCTGCTCTGGAACTGGAACTGAAAGCAGAATTTGACCCACTGTGTCCCAAATCCTAGAGATGGTGCAGAGATGGAATAGAATTCCTCTGGGGGTTCTGTGGGGAGTCAGGGATAACTCCATAAATTGTTGGCATCTGGGACAGGGAGCTATTTCACTTGCAGATTCCTTATTCAGCCTGTCATGGTACTTAAGTCTGCTGGTTTCTCCTAAAAATCAACTGGGCTGTGTGGCATAAAGATGAACCAGCTTGAGCTTCCTAAATCAGTTGATCTGATTCTATGGAGAAACTTCCCTTATAATTTATTTACTTATGCTGGACCAAATTTGGCTCTGAAATATACTGCCTTGATACCATGACATCTCTGAGGGACATCTCTCAGGCACTCAAGTGAAATCTGGCTCACTGTCATTTGCTCAGGAAGGGCAACTGCAGGTCACTTCTCTACAGATGTGTACCTCTCTGTATGATACTCAGATGTCTCATCTCCTCTCACAAGCCCTGCATGTGCTCTTTTATCCCATCCCAAACCACCCCTCCGTTTTGCAGTGTAGTGAGTTAACAGGTTTGCTGTGGTGCATTTTCAAGCAACTCCCCATAGTCTCCATGGCCTTTCTGAACCAAGGGTGGATGTGCCTTGCAGCCGTGGCATTTAGCTCATGCCCTGGAGTGTAAGAGCTGGATCCTCAGCTGGTGTGAATCAGTGCTGACACACTGGAACATCACTTCAGGGAGGTTACGCTGATCAACACCTTCCCTGCACATCTGGCACTAAACCTGGAATGGATCATAGAGGTTTAGGAATGAAGGGAAGGGATGAAGGGAAGGGAGCTCAGCCAGCTGTGGCAGGGAAGTGAGGAGCACCTCAAAGCTCCTATCTCCCAAGGCTTTTGCCCAGGCCTTCTTCCTCATGTACAAATGTGAATGAGTGAGTGACTGCTTGCTGCCAAACTGGAAATGTTATGTAGGGATTTACTGGCATGTTACTGGCATGTTACATGTTTAACGGCATGTTATCATTCCTAGAAGAGAAGAAAAAAAAAAACAACTTGACTGCACATTGTTATTATTCGTGTTGTGATTCTTATTTAATTTTTTTTGTAACACAAAGTTGACTTTTTTTATTTGAATTTGTCTTTTTTTTTATTTATTGGTCTGAAAGCCATTTCAAAGGTATAATAATATATTTGGTGTAACTTAATTGGTGCAACATTATTTTACAGCTCCGGCCAAAATTGTTTGGTGGTTTGGTTTTGTTTGTTTTTTTTTTGTTTTTTTTTTTTTTTGTTTTTTTTTTTTTTTTGGTTTTTTTTTTTTTTTTTTTTTTTTGTTTTCTTCTTGGTTTTTTTTTTCTCCCAATCCTTGGTTGGTTTGAGCTCTATGAGACACACAGGGAAAAACGCTGGATAATCACCCGAAGTGTTTGTATTTTCAATCTGATACTGTTTTTTATTAAATAAAAGGAAATTAATGTAACTGTGAAGAGTCTCTCTCTCTCTCTCCCCCTCTTCTTTTTCACTGTGCATCAGCATAAGCCAATGCCAAGTGGTAATGAACTTGTCATGCAGAAATACAGCAGCATCTCAGCACTATGTACCAAGTTGTTTATGCAAAGCTTCTTGGCTCCTTTGTGCATTTGAATATCGTGTGGGTGGCCACAGAGACTTCTGTGCTACCAAGCATTTGGCACTGCAAAGCACCCAGAGCTTTCAGCTGTAGAAATGTTTGATGGGGAAGAGCTGCTGGGGTGTTTCTGTTGGAGGTGAAGGAGGTTGGTGGGCCAGGTGTGCTGTGGGTGAGACAGAGCTGACTTGCTGACAGCACAACTCATATGTAGCCCAGAGGGAGATGCTCATGGTCCTTTTCCCTCCCTGTCACTTCATTGACAATGTTGCTGTCAGTATAATTTAGGGATTTTTGGCAAAAAAAGACTGGTGTCCATTCACTACTGTAAAACGTGGCTTGGTTTTGGTCAGATGGCTTTTAGCAGCCAGGGTGATCAGCTGGTGAGAGGGAAAAAGAGGACTCAGTTTTCATTTTTTTGGAGTCCCCATGATAACCAGAAGGCTTTAGCTTGTTTTTCTTGGAAAACAGGTGAGTATCATAAGGGAAGCTGAGTGTTAGGTATGCTATGTGTGCTGGGGACTTGTTAAAATAAAGGAAATGATTGACAATGTCCTAATGTTGGCTCTGACCACTAAACTTCACCCTTGATGCAGCTAGCCAAGATACCTGTGGTGTATATTCTGCTTTTTAAATTACAGGCAATTTGGATTAGGATCCAAGGTTTGGATATCACGAAAAAAAAAGGCTTTCATTTTCCTAATTCATTTTCTCTCTCCTGAGCTTTTTAAAGTAAGAAGCCATGGCTGTAGGTGCTAGATTTATTCATTTGGACCATTTCAAAACCAGTGGGAATAAAGGGGCAAAGCCAACAATGCAGAAAGGCAAACAGCTGTTAATACCTTACAAAGGTAATGATTATCTGCTCTATGCTAACTGAGTCAGCAATTAGAAGGTATATATTAAAAGTCAGCACGTGTTTTCTTGTTCCTGAGGTAAGCAAGGTCTAATTGTGTGGGTGCTGGGAGTTGGAAAATGAACTGAGAGTCTATTCTCTAATAGCAATTATGAAACAACTTTTTTTGTTTTTTAAGCACACTAGGAAAAATGTGAAGCTGAGAGCAAACTATTTGTTTTGTTTGAAAGGTAATGACTTTTGCAAAGTTCTGGGTGGCTGGTTATGCTGTGTGTCTGTGGCAAGCTCTGGGCAGTAATTATGTACCTGTTTGTACAGCTCTGGGCACACTTCTGGGCTGGGGTGGGAGCTGGGAGTCTGATTTTCCTATTTATTCCAGAAGATAAGTGTACAGCAATATCATAGAATCATAGAACCATCAAGGCTGGAGGAGTCCTCTAAGATCATAAAGTCCAACTGTTAATCTGTCACTGCTGTAACTCTTAAACCCTAAACCAGATCCTCCAGTGTCAGATCCAGACACCTCTTAAACAC